GTACTAGTCTACAATGACATTCATTGCTCATTACAAATCTCTAAAAACTCTCTATGTTCATTATAGGTCCCAGAAGACATTTTATGCCCATCGTATGCCTTGGGTAGCTTTCTATACTCATCGCAAGTGCATGAGCCTTCCGTTTCTTTGATAAAATGCTTTTTTACCATTGTAGGGGTGTCTTGATCGAGATTTCTCCACATGGCTTTCCTTTGACATCTTCATCGTAATCCCAGTGATGGTAGACTATATATACTTACAATTAACCCCCCTACTTATTGATAAGTGTACTTTTATTGATAAACACATTTCATGGTATTGCCTGTTGTCTAGTTTTATGGTCGTGCTAAGTGAGGCAGGGTTTGGTCATTGTATGTTATGAAGGATGCGGTGCTTTAGTTGTTCGTTCGTCAGAATTGGGTGTTGCGTGGTGACAAGGTTGTGTCTATGTGTTCTTGGTGATAAGAACGTTGCTCAGAGCAATTGGATAGCGGGTTCATTGCATGTCTTGCTGGCAGTTGGGACTTGGAATGAGTTTTTAGCTTTAATAGCTGGTCGGATTCGAGAGGTATGGGAAATGAAGCTTTGTGCATGATAGTTCCGAGGGGATGAAATGTTGTCATCAGTACCTTTGTTTGATGGTGTGTTATGTATCGATGTGTCTTCTCCCGTATTAGCCCCCCTGTTTCTTGATAGAAGGCATTGTGTCAAGAAACAAGTAGAGCAAACAAGCAATAAGTTTAATTTCCAGCCCCTGTATCTTAATAGAATGCTTTCTATTGAGAAACATTCTTGTGTGTTTTGCTGAGCGCACTATTTGCACAGCCCCCTTGTGTCGTGGAGAAATGTATTGCTGGGGTTTGTGGGCTGGAGTCCCTAGCCCCCTACGTTTGAGAGCGGTTAGAGACGTTTCAGTTTGCTTCTGAAGGGAGGCGATTTGCCTACTAAAATATCCGTTTGTGCGTGTGATGGTTTTTTTGTCATGATTATTTTGGGACATAGCGGCTGTGTTTAAGTTACCATCAATCGTGTTTTGTCCCTTTTTAGGGGTATTGTCATAATTTTTGCGATGGTTCAACTCCTGCTTGCTTGGTGAAAGGGAATGACTGGATTGTCATGTCAATCCTTTGTGTGGTGTAATTTTTGTTCCCAATACACGTGTGGGATGCTGTTTAAAAGGCCATTTGGGACGGGGATTTCTTTCTTCCTAAGTATCGTCCTGTGCCAAGAGTTTTTGTTCGTCGCTAAGCTTCCATTGCTTACAATGAGCTTTTATTCTCATTTGTAATCATCTTCCTGTGTCAGGGTTTTTAGGTTCCATTTGTTTTGTGTGAATGGATCCTTGTAAGCAGAAGAAGGTTGTGAGGGACGTCTGCCCCTTTGTCGATTTTGTGCGGCAAGTTGATACTGCCAAGCTTCTCTATGAATATGAGACTACAAAGGCGTGTGATGTGGGCAAGGGCGTCTAACCTTCTGTGCTAGTTTTGAAAGGGGAGGGCGTGACACATTTGACGTAGTGGAGGGAAATGAGTTTTTATGTTTGTATGGTCAACAGAAACACAATGTTGCTTATAGGTGCCCGAAACCGAAGATCGATGGTTCCAAGCCTGCCACCAATTTTTCTTCATGGGTGCTTTACATTTTGAAAACCTTATGTATTGCAGTTTGTTGCACGACGTCGGGCTCCTGAGGCTTGTGGACTACTTTATGCATTTCCAGGAAGAAATGGTGTGGACTTTATGGGGCCGCTTCTATCGCATAGGTGCTGCCATACCCACACATTTGTCAGCGCTTTCGGTGAATTTGGGGTTACAGTGGAGGATGTCTTTGCCTTGCTTGCACTTCCTTTGGTTGGGGCGTTTTCGGCCCATCATTTGTAGTACGCCGAGTCCTTGCCCGGTGATCATTCCAATATCTATAAGGAGTTGATGAAGGAGGTGAATCGTTTCAAGGCCAAGGTGGATGTGACATCAGCTCATGGGAAGTGGCCTCTTGATGGATGGATCAATTATTGGTTTGAGTGTAAAAGCATAGTGGACATCATGGTCTAGCAAGTTGACATTTAGTGTCACCTAGCTGCATTTTTGTTGTATGTTGTGCCGTGATTTTTATTTCACAGTAGTCCCAATTGTGGTCTTCGGACAGTGCTCGCCCCACTTGCCGTTTTAGCATCTAGTGGTCATCAACTTCCTCGTCGATGTTTCTGGGGTACCTATACGACCAGTTGGATGAGACAATTCATCAGGTGATGGACCTTGGTTGTAAGGGACGATCCTCTTATGTGTTTATCCCATTTCTTTTTATGTTTGTTTGTGAGCGTTTTGATTTAGATGTTGTTCCATGGAAACTCTCGCCCTTGACTGTTTACATGGCTAAGTGGGATGGTTCCAGCATGCAGAGTGTTACCTTAGACATGTGTCGAGGAAAATGTTGGTTGAATACTAGGCATGGGAAGAGTTTCGGTGTAGATGAGATGGAGTCTTAATTTGTGTGTGGATAGTTTCTACCCCCACCCTTAGTGGAGCATATTTTCACATGCGATGCCTTTTTGTATCAGGATGAATGTCCCTAAGGGCGGTGATCAGCAGCGTGTCATTAGCATTGACAATCCGGTGGCGGCTGCTGTGCGCCTTGTTCTGTGGCTCGGGATCGTTAGTTACTTGGATAAAACGGGTGAAGTGCAGTCGGTTGCATATCTTTTGGATCGTTTACTTCATTAGTTTGGCTAGGGGTGAAGAAAAAACTGAAAAAATGAATTGACTGAAACCGAACAAAAAATCAGTTAACCGAATTGGCTGGTTGGGTGTTTTTAAAAAACCGAAGGTATCGATTTGGTTTTGGTTAACTAATATAGAAAACCGGCGGTTAACCGAACCGACCGATATACATATATTTCTATATATTTTATATATATATTAATGTATATTATATATATTTTATATATTATAAATTATAAATTAATAATATGCATTATATAAATATATATTTATAATATATGATATATTATTTATTATTTAAGATATAATAATTTATATATATTTATAATTTTTATTATATATTTATATATATTTTTATAATATATATTGTAAAAATAAAAAAACTGATGAACCGAATTGGTGGTTAATCGAACCAGTCAATCGTGAGCACCCACGGTTCGGTTAACCGGTAATATCGGTTTGGTTCGAAAAAAAGCCCCATGGTTCGGTTAACCAAACCATGAGCACCCCTAAGTTTGGCTATGATAGCTTGAGCTCCCGATTTTTGTGCTTTGAACGGGAGGATGTCTTTTGGCAACATCACAACAATCTTGCCTTTGCAAGGGTTATGCGCTTTCCTCTTACTGGTTATAGCGGGTTTAGGTGTGGTAATCCCTTCGTTGTGGGTAGTAAGTCATGGAGGTTCCTAATTGGGCCCCATATTGTCTTAGGAGGTCAAAGACTTCTTGATTTTTTATTGAAACCCTGTTATTGGTCAATATTCTTATTGGGACTCCGAACCGGTGAACGACATGCTACCTCAGAAAGTTTGCAACGTTCTCTACACAGATCCTCCTTAGCGTTATGGCCTCCTCCCATTTGGCGAAGTAATCTATACACAAGTTTTTGCGTGTCCTCTAGCATGGTTGACCAATAGAATCCAAGGTGTAGGATATGGTTGTGTAGGGCCATCTGCCCTTGGTGGGTGGCCAGCTTAGAACTGTAAGTTGTCTCTAGGATTTCTTCTAACTATTTCATCACTGGCTATGCATCATAGAGGTCTTTGTTATTGACACACCAACCAGGCAGCGCACTACGGTGCGGGCATGGGCAACGGCACGCATAGCAGGCCGCACAGCAGCAGGCACCACCCAGTGGCGCCGCACAGTAGCACGTACCGCCCAACAGCGCGCAGCACGCACCGCCTGGCCGCACGGAGCACGCACCGCGCACACGCCCGACACCGCACGGCAGCGACACCATGAGCCACGCGCAAGCGCATGCACTGCGCGGCAGCGGCACCGCGTGGCGGCGGCACCATGAGCTGTGCGCACGCACCCGGCAGCAGCAGCAAAGGGGGGCCCACACGATAGCTCATAGGGGTGGGCCCACCCTTATCTAGACATGTCAAGCCAACTCGCCACCAGCTTACCTTATCCCTATCTTATCCTTATCTCTTATCTTATCTTATCCCTTATCCTTGTCTTATTTTATCTTCTTAAGTAAGAGTTGTGTTACCATTAAGAGTAGGTAATTAGGAGTTTTAGTTTAAGTTGGATTACCCTAGCCTRGCCGAATCCAACAAGGAATTTCCTTCTGTAATCTCCTATTTAAGGAGCTACGAATTGAAGTAAAGCATTCAGTTTTCCAATCAAGAAAAGAGTGAGGAGAGTTCGGGTGGTCTCTTGGACAAATCACCCCAAGGGAGAGTTTGGGTGGTCTCTAGGACAAATCACCCATTCAGTTTCCGCAATAG